CCCCATCCCCACCCGGCCCCCGGGGGCACGCGGGTTCCGGGGCGCGGGCGCGGCGCAGCGTCGGACGCTGCGGGGATAGGGGACGGCAGGGCGCCCCCTGCGGCGCCGGCGGCGTGGCGAGTTGGCTGGCGCTCCCAGCGGGGGGACCGACCCAAACGGGCCCCCCTGGCCGCCGCCGCCGCTGCTCAGCGCTGTGCTCCATCCCCCAGACCACGCACTGCAAGGACCCACCTTGCAACAAAAGGCACCCGTCTCTAACATCGGACGCACGCGATCACCGCTCTCCCGCCACCCCAGGTCATTGTGAACTTTGACGCGCCCCGCACCCTTGAGACATACCTGCACCGCATCGGCCGCACTGCCCGCGCCGGCGCCGGCGGCGCGTCGGTCACGCTCGCGGAGGATGCTGACAGGAAGCTGCTGCGCGAGGTGGTCAAGCGCGGCGGCGCGGCGCTGAAGCAGCGGCTGGTGCCGGCGGCGGCGGTGGCGGCGTGGCAGGCCAAGGTCGAACGGGCGCAGCCGGACGTGGAGGAGGTGAGGGCGGGGGCTCGTCGGGACGCTCTTCCTTGTATCGTGCGCGTGTGTACACGTGTGTCGTGCGCGTGTACACGCGTGTGTACGAGTGCTTGAGTCGAAGGCCTCCTAATTGGAAGGCCTCAAAGTGGCCGTGGGCATCTCCCGTGGCAGTGGCTGGGCGCGCCAGGTTGTCAGACGCCTGCCGAACGCCAGCATCGTGTGTTTTTGTGTGTATGTGTGTGTGTGTGTGTGTGTGTGTGTGTGTGACGATGTGTATATTTGAAGCAGCCCTTGACTTTTTGTCTGTTCCACCCCGCCCGCCGTGACCCGCCAGGTCATCCGGGAGGAGCGCGCCGAGCGGGAGCTGCGCAAGGCCGAGATGGAGGCGGCCAAAATGCAGAATCTCGTGGACCACGAGGACGAGATCTACAGCAGGTCCGAGGAAGGGCAGCGACCTGGGCGCTTTTGATCTGACCCGGCGCGGCGCCCGAGGGGGCGTATGAGATTGCCAGTCCTGCGTGGAGGCGCGCAGGCCGCGGTTCACGAGCGATGCCTGTGGGGCTTGCCTGCATACTGGTGTGTGTGTGTGTGTGTACTTTTAATCATATCTGTATGTCTATGTGTGTACGTACGTGTGTAGACATACTGACGCATTTCGTGCCACCTCACCCCTCCAGGCCGGCGCGCACCTGGTTCCAGTCCGAACGCGAGAAGCAGGCAGTCAAGGAGGGCGCCAAGGCGGCCGCCGAGGGCCGTGCACCACCCAGCGGCTCCGCACAGCAGCAGAAGGCGGCGAAGGGCGACGCGAAGAGCAAGAAGCGTGAGAAGCTCAAGGAGAAGCGTGCGGCCGAGGCGGAGGCGGGGAAGAGGGACGGGGGCGTGCTGGCGGAGACCGAGGAGCACACGCGGCGCGTGAAGAGCATCAAATCCAAGACGCGGGAGCTGCAGTTGCAGGGGCTGCCGGCCAACAAGGCGGCCAAGATCGCGGCGGCGGCGGTCACAGGTGCGCGCCCGCGCCTCCCATGTGCGCCGCGCTCGGGCCGCGGTTCATAGCTGTCGCCTCTTGCTTTTGAACGGGCGGCTCATTTGCCTAGGGGAGTGGCGACCAGTGCTGCTAGCCCCTTACTTCAGCCGCCCAGAGCGTCCTGCGCGGGGCCCGCCCTCACGGGCGGGCCGGCTGCGCACCGGCCGACAACCGGAGCCTCTTTCCCACGGGGCGCGCCTGCGCCCTCCTGGCGCACCCCACTATTGGCTGAGGCCACAGCTCATCTGCCCATGTGCCATCCAAACTCACACACTTACCCCCTCGCCGACGCAATGCCATTGTGGCTGCAACCAATATACCATGGTATATGACATTCTCCTGACCCCTTTGCCCAATCTAAAACCCATCCACACAATCCTGTGTCTCTCGTACACCCCACCATGCGTTTTGCCCAGGCACTAGCGCCAAGAAGCGCCCCAAGAAGAAGGCCAAGACTGGCGGCGACCTCTTTACGGGCGACGGGCTCAACAAGCCCGGCGGCGGCGGCGGCGCCGCGGGTTCTGGCGCGGCGGGCGGCGCCGGCGGCAGCGGCGGCGCGCGCGGCGGCAAGGCGGCGGGCGCCAAGGGCGCGGGCAAGGGGCTCAGCAGGACAGAGCTCAACCGGGTGAAGAGGGGCGGGAAGGGCAAGGCGGCGTTCAAGTCCAAGAAGCGGCACAAGCGCCGGTGATCTGATCTGGCGCGACCTCGGACCTGGCCGCACGCGGCGCCGGCGAGCGCGGCTGCAGGTGCGCAGGCTTTGCGGGGAGCTGGGATGGACTTCGGAGTAATGGGGCAGCTGGGCTGGGGCAGCGACGAGTGCATGCTTTGATGGGCGGCTCATTTGCCTAGGGGAGCGGCGACCAGTGCTGCTATCCCCTTACTTCTGCCGCCCAGAGTGTCCTGCGCGGGGCCCGCCCTCACGGGCGGGCCGGCTGCGCACCGGCCGACAACCGGAGCCTCTTTCCCACGGGGCGCGCCTGCGCCCCCCTGGCGCACCCCACTATTGGCTGAGGCCACATCTCAGCGTGCTTTCGCATCACCTTTTCAGGCCCAGCATACATTCTGCCTGACCTCTCCGGCCCCCTCTATCTGCTGTGCGATCTGCCTCCAGTCGATACGCAGATGCCCGTCACCTGCTGAACAAGCAGCGCAGTGTCCCCTGAAAGAAGGGGAATGGTCGGCACACCCAGCGCGCCCGTCTCGCACGTCCCGGAGCCAAATTTGTAACAAATACGACGTCAATCTCATGTGCGATCCCGCTCCTGCGTGGCTGGAAAGAGGGCGCGCCCGGGGCAGGGGTGGGCAGGAGACAGTTTGTGCCACTGGGGGCCCGGCTACTGAGGGCGAGGACCTGCTAGCTGGGTGGGACAAAACAGGCTACCAATGCTGCAATCTCAGGGCAGCAGTAGATTTTTGAACCAGCACTCGCGAGCGCTGCTGCGCCAGGCCTGCTACGCTTGCTTTCGCGGGGATAGTGTATGTGTGTTGTTGCTCGACAATGGATGTGGGGTGCAGGGCGCCTGGGTGGGTGCGCCGATGGACCGGGGCTTGCTGGTGCCCTGCCCCACAGGTGTAAATGTGGGGATTGATGTGCATTATAGAGGGCAACAAAAGGAGGGGCCTGCTCGCGGGGCCGGCGGAGGTCATGCGGCGCTTGCAGCCAACTGAGGCATTTTCGAGAACCGCAAAGCGGCAGCTGCATGCCAGCTCCTTGTCCGGCGGCGGCCACGTGTGTTTTTCCTGACGAATACTAGAATATAGCGGAGCTGAGGTTGTGGAGGCTGGGGTGGGGCGCTCGGAAATGAGCGAGGCCTCGCAGCCGGCGAAGCCCCGCCTCTCGCTTAAGGGCCTGTCTCTAAAACGTCCGGATCATGGAGGGGCGCTCCCAGCGCAGGGGTCGGTCGGGCAGCCCCTGCTCCCGACCTCGAGTGTTCTCAGCAGCGACCCAGCGAGACCCACGCCCAAAGTGACCCTTAAGTCACGTCTGTCGCTGAAGGGAGCAACATCAGTCCCCTCAGCAGCACCTGCGGCAGGCCAGGCAGCCGCGGCCCCGCCTGCGCCTGGCGCGCCGAGCACAGCAGCAGCTGCTGCAACACCAGCAGCGGCGCGCCCGCCGCCGCGCCAAGCCCTCTCCCCAGCAGCAGCAGCCCCGGCCGCGGCGCCGCCCTCTGTGGCGCCGCGGCCACAGGCGGCGCCCGGGGCGGCGGCGGCGGCGATGCCCGTCCTGCCCCCTGGCATGTCGAAGCAGGGTGAGGATATCGTAAAATCCGTTTTCTACAACCAGCAGCCCGTCAAGCAGGAAAAGCCAGCGCCCCCTGCCCAGCAGCCCCAGCAACAGCAGCAATACCATGTCATGCCCAAGCAGGAGCCCCGCCCCGCGGCCCCGCCGCTGGCCCCAGCCCCGTTTGCGCCCTCGCCGTTCGTCGTCGC